AATAACAATTTCAAACACGTGCAGCAAAATGTACGCTCAGTCGGATTGTAATTATTATGTGGTATACAATACTATTTTTATGCACATACGACGCAATAAAAGTTAAGAAATTTAATATTATTATGTTGTTTATTAATATACGGCAAAATAATTGCTTAAATCGAAAGCGCTATTTTTATATGAAACTTTTGTGGTACATCAACAAATTTGGTATACTCAACAGAATAACGCAAGTTCAATCTACTCATCTGTCCTTTACAACAAAAAAACGCAAAAATATGTCAAGAACCAAAAGAGCTAGGACCGCAAGAGTGACAAGGATGGATAGATCTTCAAAAATTATTAAAGATGGCATTTTTACAAATTTTTTGTCATTTTGCGTTGTACGACCGTATAACTGCGGAGTGACGATATATATGGCTACTTCTCAGGTGTCAAAAAGTACGGGTACTTCTAGAAGGGCTAGAAGGGACATGGGACAAAAGGCGTTAGATAAGGTTTTGCCTCTAGGGCCCCAGAAAAGCATTAATTGCACCCACTCTTCCCTTCACTTAGGGGTAATTTTTTTTAAATTTTGATGGTATTAATATTGTATGTAAATTCATATTTGGAAGTTTGAGTTATAACGAAAAGTGAACACTTTCCTTACAAAATTGTAAATATTTAATAAAATCTACATTGTTTTATAATAAGCAGGTAGGTACGCATTTAGTTATGTATTCTGTTAGCTATCTGCTGCAAAATTTATTAGTAAGCAAAACATAAGTGTTGATTAAATTTCTTGACAGTATATTTTTTGGACAAAATCTTATAAGAAAATGTATTGCATTAAACTTTTTACAATTAGGGTATTTTCAAAAAAAAATTTAGAACAGAAACTCGCTGGTATTGATTTGTAAGGGTAAAGGTTTTTAATTTCATTTTAAAGAAAATAAAATTATCAATAAAAAAAAGTTCATCTGGCAAATCGCATTTTTCAGGATTCGAACCTGGGAGTTTTTGCACAGAAATCGTATGCTATACGCATTACCCTATATAGTGTTTCTTTTAACTCATTGTACATCAACACGATTTATTCGCATGTGTTGAAAAATCCAATTAATTTCGTGCATGCATTTTAGCAGCGAATTATTTTATGCGTATACAGTAATTTATCGCTTAAAATGCATTGTCAAAGGTAATTTATGATTTTATGCGATATAGCTCAAAGTGAGGTTCTAAAATAAATTACTCAAAAGATATTACATCTCAAAGGAACTAATTATTTGTTTAATTATGTACCTTTTTGTAATTATTTTTAAGAACTTTTCTTATATTAATTTTTATCTTACTATGTATTAGGAAAGAACGTACCTATATGCATATTACGGGTGTGTTTTTGAAAAAAAAATAAACTTAAAATAGAACACAATTTCAAAACTACAGATGTAATACTTGCAAGGCTTTCAATGCATTCACACACGACTAGTAATTATTTTCTATAAGTTTTACTTTTGTGTTACTCAAATAATTCTTGTTCAAACCAGCTTGAAAATATTGTTGAGAGTATTTTGAAAAATTAATTGCGATGAATGGTATCTGTATTTCTGTCGTGAACAAAATTGGTCATGTTTATATTTTTGATCGAATTTCGATTTTAATTGTTGTAATAAAATTATAGTTATGTTAATTTTAGTTCTTTAAAAATATCGCCTAATATAATATTGTTATATGATTTAAAGTATGTTTATCTAACTTAATTTGTCAAATATTTAAAAATATGTTCTTTTTATTTTAGTATATGGCAATGGAATATGGCAAGCTTATGATAAATCTTTATTAATAAATTTTGCTACAATGCCACCAATATCTCCATCATGCAGAACTGATTTTGAAAAAGTACACCTCGGTATCAAAAATTTTGAGTTGTGGGCTTTAAAGAGTAAGAATGAGTTCTTTTATTTGTTAAGAAGTCTGAATTTTGTGATTTTGTTTTTTTAATGATTTAGTACTAGATTCATCTGCTTTCTTATCTTCTGGAATTTTAAATGGAAATTTGAATCAATATGGAGATTTTGATCAATGTTTAGAAAACGGTAACGAGGAAAATAGTATGAGAACTCAGTATTGTTTAGCACATCTGCAGCTAAATTCTAAATATCAAAAATCGGAAGAGCTGGATAACGTATTAAATCTCGTAAAATCATATGAGGCATTTAAAAGTGATTTCGATGACGTAAGTATTGCAAAATGTTTTTACAACTTTCCACTTGTAAGACTAAGTGGTAAGTTGTGTCAAAAAGGTGTTTTTTTTTCTGTACATTTTATTCATTTTTCTTGTCCTCAATGTTCGAAATCTTAAGATATTGGACCAAGGTCCATACAAAATTTGTAAGTTTTGTCCAAAAAATGGCGCAGATCGGGTGATTATTTATATTTGCTGGGAATTACTATATGAATATATGTACATATGGTAACAAAATTTTTTCTTTTACAAATTTTAGAAAAGTTTCTTTTATAGGAGGCAATTTAATTTTAATCTTTAATTATGTAGTTATTTCTTTTAAAATATTAAAGCTACAATAATGAAACTCGGAAATCGTGTGTCCAATTTCAAGTCAGATATATTTCCGAAGTTTTGGTGTAATTGCTTGACAGGTTCGGGTAGCTGCCATACAACTCCGAAAGTTAATTTTAAATATTTGGAAAAATATTAAAGCTAGATTTATGAAACTTGTCAGTCGTGTGTCTAATTTAAAGTCAGATATATTTCTGAAGCTTCGGTTGAATGACTTGATAGGTTCGTGTAGTTTTCATACAACTCCGAGTTCAACTTTATATATTTGAAAAAATAATAAAGTTAAACTCATGAAACTCGGCAGTTGTGTGTCTAATTTCAAGTTAGATATATTTCTGAAGTTTCGGTGGAATGACTTGACAGGTTCGTGTAGTTGCCATAAAACTCGGAAAGTTAATTTTATATATTTGAAAAAATAATAAGGCTAGATTCATGAAACTCGGCAGTCGTGTGTCCAATTCCAGGTCAGATGTGTTTCTGAAATTTTGGTACAATTGCTTGACAGGTGCGGGTAGTGGCATAAGATTTGGGAAGCTGCTTACAAGTTCGGTACAGACATAATATCTGTGAAATTTCTATTAAGTGGTTTGACAGGTTCAAGTAATTTCCATTTAGCAATCAAGGTTATCTCAAAAACAAATTTTTAAACTCAGATTGTCAAAGTGCAGGGTATTATTCATCAAACGTTTTTACCTGTTTTTGCTTTATTTTTATTATTTAAGCTGTTATACTAAAGTCCAAAGTAATATAAGAAAACTAAACATTAGAAATTACAAATGCCTTACAAGAATTAAATTTTAATATATGTAATTTTTAGATTAAATCTTAAAAATAATATATATTAGAGAGATTTAAAACAACCCCTAATAAATTTTCAATTTTACAAATAATAAGATAAAATAAGATAAAGAAAACTGCCGTTATAGGTTATTGTGAAAATCTAAAAATGAATGTGGTTTTATAATTTCCTTTTTCAAATTCTAAATTTCCTACGTTTATTAATATGAAAACATGTAATATGTATAATTATCTCAAAAATATCAATTCCATTTAAAAAAATTCAAGAAAATTAGTGAACACGCTACATCCTTTTTTGGGGATTATTCTCTTAATGGATTGATGTTGCACGGCAGAGTGTTCTATAATTTACACAAGATGACATGTTACAAAAATCTTATGTACAATGTAATTGGCTTTTTTAATAATTTCATTTCCGAAAAGTTTGGATTTATAATCAATTCAATTGAATTAAAAATGGTTTCCATCAAATAAAAGGGGATTTTCGATTATTCAGACAAGCACTGAAAATTCTAAATTAAATCTCTTCATACAAGCTTACTAATCTAATTAAGGATTTTCACACAAACTTACAAATCTGGTAGAAATTGAATATTTTACTTTTGCAGATGTGTAACATGCTCGGGTAATTCTTCAATATTTTTCTATTCCGCTCAAAGTAAAGAGAAAGTAAAATATCAATGTTTTCCGAGATACAAATATTTTAACGAGTTTTCCTAAATTTCCGCTTACCAAAGTTTTTTTGCTTATAGCTTCCCTTCCAAAAAAGATAGACGGTTAATATAAACAGTTTTTGAAAGAAATAATAATAGGCTTGAAAGTGATAAATGATTACATTTTTATCAAATAAATACCAAATGTTCGAACTTTTCCGAACTTTTTCGAACTTTTCCTTATTGTATACACGAATGTGTATACAATAATGTAGGTGATGTGATGACAACGAATTTTGCTTATCGAGTATTCGATGGAAACGTACTTCTCCATGGTAGGGAAGTGTAAATCAATAATTTTTGGTAACCTGTCGATCTGTCGGATTGATCAACCTTTGAGATATATCAGGCCTTGGGAACTGGACCCTTCCGCTAATTTTTTAGATTTTTGATCATTTTAAAGAAATCAGATTGAAGAAAGCAGGTGTCATCAACTGGACGTTTACTACGGGCCAAATATACATTTTTGCGTATATAAAGAGAAATAATCAACCGATTTTACTGAAATTCAATATTTAAATTCAACGGATTAAAATCATGAATCTATCATTTTTTTGGAAAGATCAGGGCTTGGAAACTGATATGGGGGCAATTTCACATTTTTGACCATATCTACGGAACGAATTGGCGGAACCTCTTGATATTTGATATGCTCTGGTTGTTACCAGAAGTTACGGGCGAACTTTTCGTATAATTCGCACGCCCAAAATAAAACTTTTCCAAGAGCCAAATTCACATTTTGCTAGGTATGTTACCCATAAGCTTACTAATACCCTAAAAATTGGAAAGAAGTATTTAGTAGGAATTTTTATAATATTCTCTAACACTTTCACCTAAATAGACAATATATTTAGCGCTCGGTAATGTGCTGATCACATTTTTATATATAACAGACAAATACTATTATAAAAGTTTAAGAGAAAAAAAAATATTGTTATAATAGTTTTCAAAAATTCGTAAAAGTTTTAAGTACATAAATATGTATGTATATATTATTTTAAAGCTTCCTAAGAAATTTTTTTTAAGCTTTCTATATGAATTGAATAATATTCAAAACTGTGGTTTGGCATATAGAAATAAATTTTTAACACATAATTATTAAATTTTGGGGGTAAACATACAAAAATTAATTTTGTATGTTTACCCCCAAAAGAAAAGGTTTAGGCATAAATAAAATAATATTTTTATTGAAATATATGTATGTACATATAAATGTATTAGAATTGAACATTTTAGAATCTTTCATTCGAATAATTAGAAAGAAAATTTAAAGTACAAACACATATAATTATGAATGTATACCTATGTATATAGAATTAAATTTTTCAAATAAAGAAAAGGTTTGGTAAAACCAAAATAATAATTAAAAAAAATAAAAAATAAATAAATAAACATATAAATGTATTTTAATTTAGCATTTTACAGTTTTTCGCTTGAACAATAAAAGTAAAATTTTAACTACATACGTACATAAATTCTGTATGTATATTTTTTTGGCACTTTTCCAAAAATTTTTTGAAAAAAAATGCTTATTAGTTTCACTCTGTCCGTCCGTCCGCCCGTCCGCCCGTGTGTCTGTTTACAAAACTTCTACAGCCTTGAAGATAGAAAGCTGAAATTTAATACGTACATAGATCTTTACTAGAAACTTATTTCAGCAGAACAAAATTTTTACCTGTCTCCCCACCTCTAGAAGTTACAACCCCCCTAAAACCCTAAAAATTCCATTTTTTAACTATTTAATGCATTGAAACCATAAGCATTTTTCAAATTTTGCAAACACAAAAAGACAGTGGCTTGCTTCCCCTAGCGCGGTGTACTATAGTTAAACTTTAGAAAAACAAAATGGCCGTTAAAAGTAACCGTTATCTGAAGTTCGTTTTTTACAAATTTTTTATGTCGTTTTTCTTCTAGACCCCAGTCTGTAGTAGGTTGAAATTTTAGGGGCTTTTATACACTAATAAATGCTTCATTTTGTTAGAAGAAAATCTTCTTTCCATCTCCGGCCCCTCTCAAGTTATCGTCTCTTGGAATTTGTAAAATTTGAACTTTTGACACCTTATATTTCTGAAACCGCAAGGTTTTTAAAATTTCTATAAACGCAAAAAGCTAACGATAAATTCCATGATATTAAAAAATATAATTATTCTTCTTAACTCACACAATCAACAATTAGAATCGAGCATTATGTTAACCCCACTTTATATTAATTTTTGCTTTATTTCAAAGATAGCACAAATCGTTCATCCTAAATATATGCAATCTTAGAATTCGTTTGGTTTATGAATGAAAATAAATAGTGTGGAGGATATACATATACTGTATTTAAAAGCTGTTTTCACTTGTTGAAGGGAAAAGTGCTACAATACAAACTATTGGTTTGAGCCAATTTTATTAAAACTTGCTGACGAAACATAATATTCAAAACAATAACAAATGAAGCATTAATATTCAGTTGCCACAAAACATCTGATGTCTTTGATAAAAGCTGACATTTATTTACGTTAAAATTATTTGGATTTTTAAACCAAAACTATGTGAGATCATTAGATTTTCAAATATTATTTATTTCTCGGTTTGTGTTTCTAATAATAACGTAAAATGTATAATTTATTTCTTGGTTTGTGTTTCTAATTATATAAAGTATAAAAAAAAACGTGCTTTTGTTATACAAAAATTTTTCCAGAAAATCTTAAAATAGAGCTATTTCGGGGCTAAAAAGTTCCAATGTCAGATTTTTCTGGGACCCTGGAGGCAAAACCCTATCTAATGCTTTCTGTCCAATATCTCTAACCTTTCTAGAAGTACCCACGCTTTTTGGCAGCTGACAATTTTTTTAAGGGAAATTTCTATTTTTCAGTTTTTATACGAATTTTCAGTTTTTATCGTAACCTGCACTTCGTGAAGGGTGTATTAACTTTGGTATGGAGTTTGTAACTACTTACAAGTTGTTTCTCTTGTGCCAAGAACTAACTCTATTGTAATTGGACTGATTCGGACAACGGGTCGGGTAGCTGCTATACAACTCAAAGAGTTTATTCTAAATATTTAAAAACTAATAAAGGTATAACTATAAAATTTTGTATACATGTGTCCAATTATATTCTACACATGCTCTAAGAATTATAATGGGATAGCTGACCCGGT